GGATTCAAACTGCCAACCTTTTGATTAGCAGCCATAGCTCTTAACCATTATGCCACCAGCGTTTCCACCTCTATGTATGGTTGCATTATAGTTGTTTGTTTTTTTTAAAGATCAATATTCAGTGTTTTCACTCTTATTACTATGCATGATAATAAGGACTGGGACAGGCAATAAACCATGATTATTTTTCCTTTCCTAAACAACTTTTTGTTTTCTCTAGAACTGAAGATTGTCTTGGTTTTTATTTTCCTTAGTTTTCTATTTCCTTATTAATAACGTGACCCTAAATTATTCATCAGTGATTTATATCTCCTCTCAAGACATTAATTCCATTAAGTATTCTATCAATTTCATCTTCTGGAAGACATCTCTCCAGGAGCCCACTGACCTGCTCCACTTTGGACCAATAACTCTTTACACATGGGACATAGCTGTCATCCTGGCATCTTCCTTCACCATCATTTTGAGGAATTCTTTTGCTTCTCTCCTGTGTTAAAGGTCCAGTTTCCTGTATCCCATGATTTTCTTTCTTGATTTACTCCCTTGTTTTCATGGAGCACATCCTCCAGTGACTTCCTTAGAAAGATCATGGGAAGTAAATTTTTTTTGATACCTTGCATGTCTGACCTTGGATTGATAGCTTGGTTAGGTATAAAACTGCAGGTTGGAAATAATTTTTCTTCAGAATCTTGAAGACAATTTTCCCTTATCTTTCAGCATCTATTGCTAGCACTGAGAATGCTGAAGCCATTGATTCCTGATCCTTTGATGTGATACTGTTTTATTTCTGAAAGTTTATAGAAGCATCATTTTGTCCTCAATATTCTATAATTTCACAGTGATATGTATTGATATGGGTCTATTTTCATCATTGCTCTAGGCATTCAGTATGTCCTTTCAATCTGGAAACCATATCTTTTAGTTCAGTGAAAAATTTAAAAATTATTTATTTGATGATACATTTCTTTCAGTTTCCTCTGTTCTCTTTTTTTGGGAATCCTGTTACTTGGATTTTTCACCCCCTAAACTGGTCCCATAATTTTTTTTATATTTTCTCTTCTATTTTCCATCTCTTTATCTTTTTGCTCTAATTTCCAGAAGTTTCCCTCAACTTTATCTTCCAATCTATCTATTGAGCTTTTCATTTCTGCTCTTGTAGTTTTAATTTCCAAGAGCTCTTTTTTATTGCCTGCATGTAACTTTTTTTGTACTTTTTTTTTACTATGGTAAAAATATATATAACAAAACATTTGTCATTTTGACATTATTTCATGTACAATTTAATGACATTAATTATGATGTTCAATCGTCACCACTATTTGTTTCCAATTTTTTTCATCACCTAAAACGGAAACTCAGTTTCCCGTAAGCAATTACTCCCCATTTCTCACACCCCTCAGCCCTGGTGTCCATCAGTCTGCTTTCTGCCTTTATGGACTTGCTCATTCTGGATATTTCATATAAATGCTTCATGTAATATGTGCTCTTTTGTGTCTGACTTACTTCACCTAGCATAATCTTTTCGAGATCACCCATGGTGTAGCATGAATCAGTACTTCATTCCTTTTTATGGCTGAATAATATTTCATTGCATGTATATACCACAATTTGCTTATCCATTAATCCATTGATGAACACTTGGGTTTCCATATTTTGGCTATTGTGAATAGTGCTGTGATGAACATTAATGTACAAGCATTTGTGTTTTCAGTTCTTCTGGGTATAGACCTAGGAGTGGAATTGCTGGGTCATAGGGCAATCCTATGTTTAGCTTTTTGAGGAACCACTGAACTTTTCCATAGTAGCTGCACCACTTTACATTCCCATCAGCAATGTAAGAGTGTTCTAATTTCTCCACATCCTTGCCAAAACTTGTTATTTTCCATATTGTTTTTAAAATTGTTATCATCACCATCCTAGTGTGAGTGGTATCTCATTGTAGTTTTGGTTTGCATTTCCTTAATGGCTAATGATTTGGGGCATCTTTTCATGTGCTCGTTGGCCATTTGAGGGTTTATGTCTTTTAAAATTGCTCTTTTACTGTAATTTTGATGGGATCTTGGGAGGGAATAAAACTATGTTTTATTCAATCCACCATTTTATCCAGAAATCCTCTTCCCCAATGTTCTTGCCCCTGAGATGATTAGAATGGGGAAGAGAGATGTAGTAGGGGCTGAGAGGAGCCTGAAGTGTGCGTTGTATAGTGAAGAGCACTAGGCCAGGAGTCAAGAGACCGTGACTCTAGACCAACTCTGCCAAGAACTTTCTGTGTGATCTTGTGCTGTCTGGGCTTTGTTTTCCTCAGTTGAATTTGGACTATGATCTTTAAAAATCTTCATAGTTCTCACATTTTTAATGTCTATGTGAATCAAGGGGTGTGACCTCTGTCCCCTAGTCTAAGTTACACGTATGTGTGTGTGTGTACATGGATCTGTGTCTCTCCCTTTCTGAATCCTCCCCTCCTGCACTTTCTCCCCAGTGGAACACACGGGCCAAGCGGGAGAAGCTGACAGAGCTGATGTTTGAGCAGTACAACATTCCTGCCTTCTTCTTATGCAAGACGGCAGTACTCACCGCGTATCCTCTGGGTTGAGCTGCTCTGCCTGGGCGGAGGGCCAGGGTGGGGTGTGTGATGCTCTGAGACGGAGCTTAGCCAGATTCTGTGAAGATCAGTGTCCTGGATAGGCAGACACCTCCTTTAGCCTCATTGGTGCAGACGGCCGTCGGGCTAAGTGCCTTGGGGTAGGCAGAACAGCAACCCTTTCCCTCTTTTTTGGATCAGGCGAAGCCAGGAGAGGTCTCCACGAAAAGAGATAGTTGGGCCAAGCAGACAGCAGATGCTAGTTCTGGAAGGAGGAGGGAGAGATGCATGACACTGAAGAGTTTCCTTCCCAAATAGCAATCAGCAAACGTTTGTTTTTTTAAGGATTTACCTAGCATTGAACCCTATGCTAGGCACTGGAGCTATATGGACCCTAACTTTAGGGAGCTGCTAGGATATAAAACCAAGAAGAGAGGCTGGGAGCTCAGCAGAAAGGAATAGAGGAAGGAGCTGTCACTCAGACAGGCAGGAAGTGACTAGGGTCTCAGGAGCCTTTCTCCAGGAGATGGGTCATAAACCAGGAAGAGACATTTGCAGACTGAGAGTGGAGCCTGGACCTCAAGGGAGCAGAGAATGACCAGGCCAGACCTGGTCCCAGACCCTTCACTTACTGCTGCTGTCTCTTTGACCTACCCATCCTATGCCAGCTTTGCAAACGGACGCTCCACGGGCCTTGTGCTGGACAGTGGGGCCACCCACACCACGGCCATTCCAGTGCATGATGGCTACGTTCTGCAGCAAGGTGGGGCCTTGGCAGGGCTCAGGGCTGCCTTGGAAGAGCCAGGCCCTGACATCCCCTCCCGTTCCAGGCATTGTCAAGTCACCCCTGGCTGGGGACTTCATCTCCATGCAGTGCCGGGAGCTCTTCCAGGAAATGGCCATTGACATCATTCCACCTTACATGATCGCAGCCAAGGTGGGGCCTCTGGGGAGCCTCAGAGCTACAATCACAGGGTTCTGGGCACTCACTCTATGACTGTCAACCCACTGACCCATCAGATATCAAAGCAGAGAGCAACAAGGTCCCCAGAGGACCCTGAGTCCAGGTCCTCATTTTATAGTTGAGGAATCAGAGATCCACAGATGTTAAGAGGCTTGACCAAGGTCACACAGTCAGGTGGTGGCAGGATGTGTGAGGGCCATGGTGGTGGGTTCTGGGCTCGAACAGACCCAAGTTCAAGTTCTGCCTCTGCCATTTAAGACCTGTGTGACCTAGAGTATGATTTTAAGCTCCCTGAGCCTCAGTTTCCTCTCCTGTGAAGTGGAGATAACAGTAGATAGGGCTGTTGTGAGTGTTAAATGAGTCACTGCAAGCAGAGTCCACCCTGAACACTCATGCAGAACACTGCTCAGTAAAAGCTGGTCTCTTAAGTCTCTGGTCTCCCACTGTATTTTCTGTGCCCTCAGTTTTCTCTGACTGGGAACTTTCAGATCGCTGTACCTCCTGCATATGGGGCATACGAGGGGACAGGCTCTCCCCATTCTCTCTCCTCTCTTTTCTGGGTAACAGAGCTGGGAACCCAGTACCAGTTGGCTGCAGAGCCAGCCAAGTGCTAGGAATGAGAGGTGTGGTCAAGGTAGGCTAGGCAAGTGAGGGCTGGGGAAGGGTGCTCTCTAGGCTGTGCCCCCAACAGGAACCTGTACGGGAGGGTGCCCCCCCGAACTGGAAGAAGAAGGAGAAGCTACCCCAGGTTTCCAAGTCCTGGCATAACTACATGTGCAACGTGAGGCACTGGAGAGGGCCCCCAGAAACCTCTCCCCCATCCCCTGCTCCAAGTTCCCTGCCATGAGTTGGGAGTGGGGGAGGCAGAGACCCTGCAGGTGGGGTGGGGTTGGGGGCCTCAGGAGAGAGGCCATGCCCTCACCACCACCCTGGGTTCTCAGGAGGTGATCCAGGATTTCCAGGCCTCTGTGCTGCAGGTCTCTGACTCTCCTTATGATGAGCAGTGAGTGAGGCCCAGGGCTTGGGGTGGGAAAGAGGGCAGAACTGGGGCGAGGGGGTTCTCTGGTGCTGCCCCCCTGGCCCTTCCTAAGCTCCCCAGTCAGAGTCTTGCTCCTTTCTGGGCAGGGTGGCTGCACAGATGCCCACAGTGCATTATGAAATGCCCAATGGCTACAACACAGACTATGGCGCTGAGCGGCTCCGTATCCCTGAGGGCCTGTTTGATCCTTCAAACGTCAAGGTCTGGCTGGGTAGAAGGCACCGGGGTGGGGGCTGGCTGCAGTCCTTGAATCCTGGAGGGGTGTGTGTGTGAAGGACCGCAGGGGGCTGGGGAGAGAGGGGCAGAGGGCCCAAAGCCCAGGTCACCTTTCTCCGCAGGGCCTGTCGGGGAACACCATGTTGGGCGTGGGCCACGTGGTGACTACCAGCATCGGCATGTGCGACATTGACATCCGCCCGGTGAGGCCCAAGGCAGAGGCTGGGCTAAAGGGGCCCAGAAGTAGTGGGGAGGTAGGGAGGGACTGTTCCCTGCATGCTCACCCCTTCTCCCTGCTCCCAGGGCCTCTACGGCAGTGTCATTGTCACCGGCGGGAACACACTGCTTCAGGGCTTCACTGACAGGCTTAATAGAGAGCTTTCCCAGAAGACCCCACCGGTAGGAGCCCACCCCTGACCCAAGGCCCTGGACTTCAGTCCTGGCTTAGCCCTTCAGCACCAAGTCCTGCTTCCTGCTCAGATGTCAGGTGTCCTGGCCACCAGAGCAGACCCCCTGCTCCTGTGTCTTCCCAGCTTTCCCCTCCACAGCTCTGTCCCTTCCCAGAACCCAAGTATCTGCTTCCCCCAGCCCTCTTTTTCCTCAGAGCATGCGACTGAAGCTCATCGCCAGCAACAGCACCATGGAACGCAAGTTTAGCCCCTGGATTGGAGGTTCCATCTTGGCCTCACTGGTGAGAGGGAAGGGGCCTGGCCTAGGGCTGAATGCAGGGAAAAGGCAGACCCAGGAAGTGCCCACTGCCTTACCTGCCTCCTTGTTCATTCATTCATTCATTCAACAAGCATTTGTTTTTTAGAAAGGGCAGAAAAGTGAATGCTCAGTCAGGACACAAAAAGGAGAGGGACAGGACGCTGGAGAGATTGGTTGGGATGAGATCATGGTGGCCTTGAGTGCCAGAGTGAGGCACCCACTGCACTTGGTTGGCAGAAGGGAGACACTGAAGGTTTGGGGTAAGGGGAAGATGTGATGATCACAGGCATGAGTCTTTGGGTATTAGGGTGTGAGCTGGAGGCAAGGGATCTGGAGAGGAGGCTCCTTCTAGAGTCCTGGAGTCATTGAATGGGTGACAGTGGGGATGGGGTCAGAGCAAGGGGCAAATAGTAAAAGAAGGCAGGGAGATTGGTTTGGGGGCAGTGGATGGTGAGATCGGTCTGGACCTGCTGCTGGAATAGAGGCAAGATATTAAGCAGGAAGCTAGAGGTGCAAAACGGATTTGGTAGGTGTCAGCCACACAGAGGGAACAGAGAGGCCATGAAACAACAAGGAGAACATCCACTAAAGGGGGGAGACCCTGAGGAGACAGAAGTGAGGGTGAAAAAGTCAGGAGACTAGCAGTGTGGACTTAGCTCAGGGCTGGGACCATGTCGGCCTCACAGGGTTACTGTGGGCCTCATGCGTGCTTGAAGTAGACAGACAGCCTGACACAGTGCTGCCTTCATGAGCGGGGCAGTCTACAGGGTGAGACAATTACCCAGGAAGTCATTACAAAGTGTGAGAGCATTTCTTCATGGGAGGGGCAAGGTGCAAGGATCTCATCTAGTTTGGAGGTCATGGAGGGCCTCCAAGGAGCACTGGCATTTAAGCTTAGATGGGAAGAGTGAGTAAGAACTCATGAGTCAAAGAAGAAGAGGGTGCTCAGACCGTGGGGAGAACCCAGGCAAGGCCCGCAGACAACAGGGAGCCATGTGGGACCTGGGTTTAGAAAGCTTACTCAGTTGCAGAGTGGAGGGGGAATTGAAGGGGGCCAGACGGAAGGAGGGACAGAGTGCTATGGTCTCCACTCTGACTTGGGTGAGGCTGAGGGGTGGATGTCCGTGGGTAGAACTGGGAGCTTATCAGGTGATACTACTGACAGAATGTGGACACTGTTTGGACATAACAGGCGAGAGAAGGAAGGCATCAAGGATGAGCCCTAGGATGCCAGCTTATAGCAGGGGCTAGGGCAGTGCTGTTCAACAGGGACATCATGTGAGCCACATGGGTAATTTTCAATTTTCTAGTAGCAATATTTAAAAAGGGTAATAAAAGACAGGTGAAACCAAGTTTTAATAACATATTTTACTTGATCCAATATATCCAAAATGTTATTCCAATGTGTGATCAATACAAAAATTATTAATATTTTATACTTTTTCTGTATTATTCTTCAAAAATCGAGTGTGTATTTTACACTCAATAGCCACATGCGGTAGTGGCCACTGTAGTCGGCAGCATAGGTCTAGAAGGTGAGAAGGACCAAGGAAGAAGCAGGTTTGGGTGGGGCCAGGGGGAAGATAGTGAACTCAGTTGTGGACATGTCGGGTTTGAGGTCCTGAAGGACGCTCAGGAGGGCGTTGGGTGTTTTAGTCTGGAACTCAGCACAGAGATCTGGACTGGAAAGAAGAGACTGGGAATGGAGGGGTGTTAGCACATGAGGTGAAGCCGTGGGGGTGGACGAGATGGACCAGGAAGATGTGTTCTGTGGGCTGAGAGGAGAAATGGGGGCAGAAGCTAGGGACACCTGGACACTAATCTTCAGGCAGACACAAGAGCAACCATCAGAAGGGACAATCTGAGACGTCCAGGGCAGGAGACCCTCAAGGGGCACGTTTCAGAGGGAGGTGGGGGTGGGGAGCCAGAGTGAAGCCAGCTCCATCTAGGCGTTTGGTGGCCTCAGGATAGGCAGAGTGGAAGAAAGATTTTTCTTCGGAATGGGGGTGGCTTGAGTGTTTGTGAGCACGATGGCACGATGGGGGAGGAAGATGGTAGAGGAGGAATGAGGGGGGCGTTGAGGGTGCAGGTTGGCTGGCCTGGGGCTGTAAACTCCACTACCCAGCACAGGAATAGTGCCTGGCCCAAGGCAAGCAGGGGTTCAATAAATATTTGTTGAATGAATGAATCGTTGATTGAATGATATGAGGGGGTATTCTCCCTCTAAATGCGAAGGAGGGGCCCGGAGGATGGCGCGGGGAAGCGTTGAGGGGCTAAGTTAGGGGAAAGATGTGGGCCCGAGAGGCGGTGAAGGGCAGGAGGAGGGCTTTTGAGGGCAGAGCCCCTCCCTCCCTCCAGGGCCCACTGACCGCGATGTGGTCCGCACCACCCAGGGCACTTTCCAGCAGATGTGGATCTCCAAGCAGGAATATGAGGAGGGCGGGAAGCAGTGCGTGGAGAGGAAGTGCCCCTGAGGGCGGCCCCTCCCCAGCGGGGGCGGAGAGGGATCGCCGAGAGTGTTTTCCTTGGCCGGGTCCCCACAGCGCAAATCGAAGCCCCTTAGCCTTCCAAGCCCTCCTCCTCTTCCACTTCCCTCTCGTCCTCTTATATTGTAATGTTTCTGGGTTAAAAGGAGTAAAAATGTTTTAAGAAAAAAGAAAGTTTGGCTTCCTTGGGGTGGGGAGTAGGGGCAGAGGTCTGGAGGAAGGCGAAAGGGGGCCACACCTACGTTCGTTCTGGGACTCCACGGGGGACGCCTGAGCACAGCCCGAGGAGTCACGGTTTCCTCAGGTTTCAAAGGGTCCATGATCCTGGGAGAATCATGCAGCGAGGACCGGGCGCCACCGAAGAGCCGAGTTGGGGCGGGTAGGGGACTCGAGCGGAGAGGATGCCGAGGCAGGGGCGGGGCCTAGAGGAAGGCCTGCCCCAAGGGGCCGGGGCTGGGCGGGGCCGGAGGCGGGGCCTAGTGGGCGGAGCGTCGGCGCTGGCCTCGCGACTCAGAGAGGCATCGCCGCAGCACCCCAGGAGCAGCAGCTCAGGTGAGCCGTCGCTGCGCTGCTGTCTTCCTTCCCCGGGTTCGTGGTAGTTACAGGTAGGGCAGGGACTGGGGGCACTAGTGTGCCCCGGCAACTCAGTACTTCTCTCCGGACTTGAGTTGCTCAGCTATTCCAGAGCTGCTTTCTAGGGTCCTTGGCGGAGGCCTGCCCCCGATACCTGAAGCTATAGATAAAACTTACTGGCTTGTTCCGGTATGTGTTTTTGGGGTGCGGGTGTGTAGCCTTTCATCAGACTCTCAGAGGGTCCGAGACCCAAAAGAGGTAGAAACCTACTATGTGATCCAAGTCTTCTGGTCACCAAAGAGGAGCCGGTGCTCAGGCAGGAGCATGACTTGTCCAAGGTCACTTAGTTCTGCACCTGCCTTGATCAGAACTCTTTCCACCTCATGTGATGCCTTGTGGGCCCAGAACCACAAATCCCGGACTCTAGGACCTCCAATCCTAGAGTACTGACTGATCCCTACCTGACCATGGGCTTCCACCCATAGTCCCTCCCTCCCCAGCAACTAGCATAGTTCCACATAGCCAGACCGCATCCCCCGGTTTATGCTACTGGGGACAGGGAAAGCAGCTAATGTGTTCCAAGACCTGCACAGGGAGGGGGCCTGCAAGCCAGATGACGAGGGGGCAGAGGTCTTCATGGTGGATCTTCCAGGGGAGTGTAGGGGGCTTAGGAAGGGGTCGCCAAGGACACTGGTAGAAGTGGAAGCAGCAGAGGGGAGGGGACATCCATATGCCTGCCCTTCCCAGCCGTGAGCTACCCTCCTCCACTCCTAACGGGAACTGGGAGGCCAAAGTCTGCCCTAAGGTCAAAAAATTGATTGTTTTGCCGGGAGGGGGCAGGAATGGGGCTATGGAGGGATTGGTAGAGAAGGCACAGCCCCTCCTGCTCTGGCCTGGGCTGGGGGACCATATCTGGAAAGCTGGGCTGAGGCCAGGACTTCCCCCCACCCTTGGGGGGTGAGGAACGGCCAGGCCTCAGGCTCCCTGCCTGGGCTGATAAGGGGCCTTCCTGGGGCTCCCACAAACGGTTTATCATGGTGGGGGGGGCAGCCTGCAGGCTTCAGGAAGGGGCATGAGCATGGAGCGGCTTTGGGGTCTACTCCAGAGAGCGGTAAGACCGAGTGGGGTTGGCGGACGGCTTAGGCCTTCTCACCAGGTCCCTCAGCCCCCTCTCTAATCCCCCAGGCTGGCGCCTCTTGGCCAGTGTCCTGGCTCCTCCCCTCCAGCCTCTGGACCTTCTTTCCAGCCTGCCTCTCAGGCCCTTTCCCCCCACCTTGTGCTCGTTTGGCACCCCAAAGCTGCTGACCTATTCTTGCCATATCCCCTCCATCTCCCAGACCTCTTCCCCCAATCTCATGCCCACCCTGCCCCCCACAGCAAGAGCTGTCCCCACGAACCTCTCAGACCATCTACAAGCGTGTTGAAGGTACCCAGCAGGGGCGCCTGGAGGAAGAAGAAGAAGACAGGGAGGAGGGGTCCGAGCATCCAACGCACTTTCGCCCCATGGAGCTGAGGGGCCCCGAGCCCCTAGGCTCTAGACCAAGGCGGCAAAACCTCGGACTCTGGGCAGCGGCAGGACGAAGGGCCATCCCCTACCTGGTCCTGACAGCCCTGCTGATCTTCACTGGGGGTGAGAGTGAAGGGTCTGGGCTGGGGAGATTGCTGGGGTCCAGAGGGGACACAAGAAGAATCCCCATCTTGCCACCCGCCAGCCTTCCTTCTGGGCTACGTGGCCTTCCGAGGGTCCTGCCAGGCATGCGGGGATGCCGTGTTGGTGGTCAACGATGATGTCAACTATGAGCCAGGCCCTGACTCCCACCAGGGCCCATTGTATTGGCGTGACCTCCAGGCCATGTTCCTGCGGTTCCTGGGGGAGGGGCACCTGGAGGACACCATCAGGTAAGGAGCAGCCTGGTCCCCTTCCTGGCCCTCAAATGTCCTCTCTGCCTCCACTCAGACTCAGCCCCACTTCCTCCTCACACAGGACCCTGGTGTCTGGACCCCCTTTCGAAGCCCTTCCACCTGCCTCCCTGGCCTCCCTGTTCCTTGGTCCTGGGAAGAAAGGCAGGCATCTGGAGCTGAGAAGAGGGAGGGCAGGTGTGGGGATGAGGCCCCAGAGGGCTCAGGCTTCAAGGGCGGGATGGTTTGGGAGATGAGGGAACCGACTGTCTGAATACGAACAGACGGACCCAGCATCCAGATGGGCAGTAGAGCAGACCCAGAAAGGCCTTGAATGCTACACGGAGGCACTTGGATTTTGATCTTTGGCAGCTGGGAGCTCTGGAGGCTCTGAAAAGGGGCATTTTAGGGAATCAGAAAAACAAGCAAGCAAATGCATTTGTGGGCATGGACCACCCCCCACCCCTCCCCGCCCCCATCTACATCATGGAGGTGCCAGCCAGACACAGACTGAACTGAGCAGGCTTGCAGCGCACAGCAGGAGTAGCTCATGTTTCCTTTGTCCTGCTGCACGGTCACCCTTCCCTACTGGGAAGGAGCTGCCCAGATAGGTCCACAGAAGAGATACAGCCCACCCATAGCCCTCCTTTGGGTCAGGAATAGCTTTTCAATGAATTCTCCTGGGTTTTCTAAGTAGATAATCATATAAGCTACAACAGTCCAATCTGAAACCTATCATGGGGATGGCACAGGACCAGGTAGTGTTACGTTCTGCTGTGCATGGGGCCACCATGAGTTGCAAGCTGACTCAATGGCAACTAACAAGAACATAGTGAGCGAAGCGTGTCTTCTCTTCCAATGGTTATACCTTCTATGTCCTCTTCATTTCTTTTTGCATTGGAGAGGACATGAATGGTAATTGGTGATCGTAGGTGTCCTTTTCTATTTCCTGATTTTAATAGGATTTTTTTTATAATCTTTTATCACTGAGTATTATCTATGCTGCAGATGTCAAGGAACTTTAAAATCAAACTAAGGAAGTTTCATTCTATTCCTAGTTCACTGAGTTTTTTTTTTTTTTAATGATTAGGAAGGGAGGAACAGATATGGAATTTGTTTTTAAATGTTTTTCGGGAATGTATTCAGGTGACTGTATGAGTTTTCTTCTTTAATGTTTATGTAGTAACTTGCGTTAATAGATCTCCTTGCCATCAGTGCTAAGCTTGATCAAGGTGCATCACTTTTGTTTTAATACGCTGCTGGATCCAGCTTGCTAAAAGAACCTCAATTTGCGGCATCAGCAACTTTCAGAGCTTTTTATTTTCTTGAACAGCACTTGAGAGTCTAGGTGCAGGCTGAGCAGGTGGACAGTTTGACAAGTCTTGGGGTGGGCTGTGGCACTGTGGGTACATTCAAAGGGCAGGGAGGCAAGAGGGTAGCAGTGAGTGGGGAGAGAGCAATGAAGCGATGGGCCATCTAGGCTGGAAGGGGAAGGGAGGGAGCCAGGGAGGAGCTGATAGACTTGGAGAAATTGTAAAATCTGGAGAGCTCCACTGGGCTGAAGAGCAGGGATAGTGAGGGTAAGGGAGAAGTTGGACCCTGAAAAGCTCCAGTCAGAGAGTGAGATTCTAGAGCCTTTAAGATTTATCTGGTTAATTATGCCCTATTTATCTTAGTGCCTGGCACCTAGTAGGTGTTCAGTAAATCCTTAATGAATAAATATTCCAGAGGTGGAGTTCTAGGTAAGGACAAGACCCAGGGTGTAGCCAGCGAAGAGGGTGGCTGGAGTGGAGGTTAGAGTCTGGCACTGATGAGGTTATTCATTCATTTATTTCAACAAATATTTTTTGAGCACCTAATATGTGGCAGGTACTGGGCTAAGTCCTGGTGGTGCAGTGATTAAGAGCTTGGCTGCTAACCAAAAAGTCGGCAGTTCAAATCCACCAGGCACTCCTAGGAAACCCTATGGGGCAGTTCTACTCTGTCCTGTAGGGTCGCTATGAGTCGGAATCGACTGGACGGCAGTGGGTTTGGTTTTTTTTACTGGGCTAAATTGGTGGTGGTGATATAGCATAGAACGAAACAATCGGGAGTTTGCCCTGATGGAGCTTACAGTCCATTGGAGGAAATTGATATTAAACTAATAATCACATTAATGACTGCATAATTATCACTAAGGTCATTGTTTTGAAAGGAAAGTAAAAGATGTGAGGAGTGACTATAACAGGGGACCTGATTTAGATTAGGGGCCAGGGGAGACTTCCTTGAGGAACTGACAAGCTACAGCCTGAGGAATAAGTAGTTTGCCAGTCAAAAAAACACCAGCGTAGCACTGCCCCATAGGGTTTCAAAGGAACGGCTGGTGGGTTAAAACTGCCAACGTTTTGGTTAGCAGCCATAGCTCTTAACCACTGCGCCAGTTAAAAAGGAGGTGAAAAAGCACTCCAGGCCAGGGAAGAGCATTTGCAAAGTGTCCAAAGCAGGAAGATTGTGGCCTATTCGAGGAAGTGAAAGAAAGCCCATGTGACTGGCAAGGTGGACATGGCTAAGGCCCTAAAGGAACTTATTAGCTCCATTAACAGTTTTGGATTTTATTCTAAGTGTAAAGAGAGAGAACTGAAGAGTTTTGAGCAAGAGAGTATCATGGTCAGATGGGGATGGGGTATAGGTTTTTTTTTTTCATGTCAGCTGCGAAGAATAGAGTTGATCATACTCCTCAGACTCTAGTACAGTGTCCTCATTGGTCAATATAAGGCTTCCTGTTTAATTTCTCCTCCTTCATCCCTGAATGCTCCTCCCGCTCCCCTCCACTACATGGACCTCATCCGAGTGTTTGATGTGTGTCCTGAATACGCATGTGGCTTCGTCATATATGTGATGCAGTTTTATGTGTATGTGTAGATTTCAAAATATTAATGTTTCTGTAAAATTTGTATATGTTCATTATTTTAAAATTTAAACAACATGGAAAAATACAAAGAAGAAAGTTAAAACAATAATCACCCCAAGACCCACTATTCAGATATCGCTATCTGTAGTATGTGTGTGTTTAATTTTATTGTGGTAAATAATATAACAAAAAAATTGCTTTTTTAACTATTTTAAGTGCATAATTCAGTGACATTAATTACATTCACCATGTAATCACCAATATCAGAAATTTTTCATCACCCCAAATAGAAACTCTGTACTTGTTAAGCAATAATTTCCCTTTCCTGCGAGACTCTTCCCCACTGCTGGCGACCACTAATAAACTTTTGTCTCTATATACTTGCCTATTCTATGGAAGAAAAAAACCTGGTGATCTGCTCCCATAAAGATTACAGCCTAGGAAACCCTATGGGGCAGTTCTACTCTGTCCTGTAGGGTCACTATGAGTCAGAATTGACTCGATGGCACACAACAACAATTTGCCTATTCTAGATATTTCATAAAAGTGGGATCATACAATATTTGTCCTTTTGTGTCTGAATTATTTCATTCAACATAATATTTTCAAGGTTCATCCATGTTGTAGCATGTATCAGAACTTCATTTATCTTTATGAAGGAATAATATGACATTGTATGTATAAGCCACATTTTGTTTATCCATTCATCTGTTGATGGACACTTGGGCTGTGTCTGCCTTTAGGCTATCGTGAATAATAACTACAATGAACGCTGGTGTACAAGTATCTGTTTGAGTCTCTGCTTTCAAGTCAAGGAGTGGAATTGCTGGGTCATACATTCTGTGTTTAACTTTTTGAGGAACTGTCAAACTGCTTTCCACAGAGGCTGTACCATTTTACATTGCCACCAGCAATGCACAAGTCTTCCAGTTTATCCTGGCCAACACTTGTTATTTTCCTTTTATAATAGCAATCCTAGTGGGTGTGAAGGTGTCCCTGGGTAGTGCAAATGGCTAACGTGCTTGGCTGCTAACCAAGCTTGGCTGTTTGAGTCCACTCAGAGGCACCTTGGAAGAAAGGCTTGGTGATCTACTTCCAAAAATCAACCATTTGAAAACACTATGGAGCACAGTCTACTTTGATATACATGGGGTCACCATGAGTTGGAATGGCAACTGGTGGTGATGGTGTAAAGTGGTATCTCGTTGTGGTTTTGATTTGCTTCCCTAGTTGATGTTGATCATCTTTTCATGCGCTTGTTGGCCATTTGTGTATCTTCTATGGAGAAATGTCCAAGTCCTTTGCCCATTTTTGAATTGTGTTGTTTTTGTTGTTGCTGAGTTGTAGGAGTTCTTTATATATTCTGGGTATTAAATCCTTATCAGATACATGGTCACCATATATTTTCTCCCATTCTGTAGTTATCTCTTCACCTTCTTGATAAAGTCCTTTCATGCACAGAAGTTTTGATGAAGTCCAATTTATCTATTTTTTTCTTTTGTTGCTTGTGCTTTTAATTTCATATCTAAGAACCCATTGTCAAAAATAAGATTTGAAGTTATACCCCTATGTTTTCTTCTAAGAGTTTTATTACTTTAGCTCTTATATTTAGGTCATTGATCCATTCTGAGTTAATTTTCATATATAGTGTGAGATATGGGTCCAACTTCATTCTTTTGCATGTGGAGATACAGTTGTCCCAGCACGATTTGTTGAACTTGGAACACTTCCCCATTGTGGATGTGGCACACTTGTTGAAGATCAACTGGCCATAGAGAAATAAACATAGGTTTATTTCTGTACTCACAATTCTCTTCCACTGGTATACATGTCTGTCCTTATACCAGTACCACACTGTTTTGATTACTATAGCTTCACAGTACGTTTTGAGTCAGAATCGACTTGATGGCAATGGGTTTGGTTTTGGTATAGTACCTTTTGAAATCAGGAGAGAAGAGTCCTCCTACTTTGTTGTTTTCAAGATTGTTTTATCTATTTGAGACTCCTTACAATTTTGTATGAATTTGACGACCAGCTTTTCCAGTTCCACAAAAAATGCTGTTGGAATTTTGATAGAAATTGTGTTGAATCTGTAGATCGCTTTGGGTAG